CATTTGCTGAGGAGTGTTTTACTTCCAATTATGTGGTTGATTTTAGAATAAGTGATGTGGTGCTGAGAAGAATGTATATTCTGTTGATTTGGGGTGGAGAGTTCTGTAGATGTCTATTAGGTCCACTTGGTCCAGAGCCAAGTTCAAGTACTGAATATCGATGTTAATTTTCTGTCTCATTGATCTGTCGAATATTGACAGTGGAGTGTTAAAGTCTCCCACTACTATTGTGTGGGAGTATAAGTCTCTTTGTAGGTTTCTAAGAACTTGCTTTGTGAAGCTGGGTGCTCCTGTATTGGGTGCATATATATTTAGGATACTTAGCTCTTCTTATGTAACACACTTCTTTGTCTTTTTTGATCTTTGTTGGTTTAATGTCTGTTTTATTAGAGACTAGGATTGGAACCCCTGCTTTTTTTTTTCACTTTCCATTTGCTTGGTAAATCTCCCTCCATTCCTTTATTTTGAGCCTATGTATGTCTTTGCACATGAGAGAGGTCTCCTGAATACCATTGATGGATCTTGACTCTTTATCCACAGTCTGTGTCTTTCAATCGGTACATTTAGCCCATTTACATTTAAGGTGAATATTTTTATTTGTGAGTTTGATCCTGTCATCATGATACTAGTTGGTTATTTTGCACATTAGTTGATGCAGTTTCTTTTTCTTTTTTTATGGGAAAAGTTTTAAATTTTTAATGAAAAAGACTTAGAACAATGTATTATTTACATGTAAATAAGAAAAGAGAGCAGAATCCCCACATCCTCTTCAGAGGGAGACAGGAGGCCGTTTATGAGAAGAGAGTCCATATAAACCCTATTAAATAGAAGCTGGACCTAAATACTTCCAAACAGGAGTACAGAACAGGTGAACAGTCTCCACTCATCCCATTGATCTGCTTCAGATCAGATCAGCAACGTTCACAGGCATCTCATCAATCTGAGTGGAATAGTACTGCTCAATATCTCTGAGGATGCGGATGTCATTGTTCTTTACAAAGTTAATGGCGACACCCTTCCGGCCGTATCGACCTGATCTCCCAATTTTGTGTATGTACAATTCTCTGTTATTGGGGAGATCATAGTTGATGATGAGGGACACCTGAGGGACATCCAACCCCCTGGCCCAGACGTCTGTAGAAATAAGCACTCGGCTGGTGCCCGACCGGAACTCCTTCATGATGGACTCCCGCTCTTTCTGGGGCATGTCTCCGTGCATTGAGGACACAGTGAAGTTGGCTTCTCTCATTTTTTCTGTCAGCCAATCCACCTTTCTTTTGGTGTTGCAGAAGATGACCGCCTGAGTGATGGTCAGTGTGTCCTAGAGGTCACACAGAGTGTCAAATTTCCACTCTTCCCTCTCCACTGCCACAAAAAATTGCTTGATGCCTTCCAGAGTCAATTCATCACGTTTCGCCAAGATGCGGATTGGGTCGGTCATGAACTTGTTGGTCATCTCCAGGATCTCGTGTGGCAGCGTGGCACTGATGAGAACCACCTGTGTGGCTGGTGGCAGGTACCTGTATACGTCATAGATCTGCTCTTTGAAACCTTTATTCAACATTTCATCAGCTTCATCCAAAACCAACATTTTGATAGCACGTGTCCTTAAGCTTCCACGACGAATCATATCAAAAACACCGTGGAGTGCCTGCAACAACATGCAGTCCATAATCCAGCTTCCTGATGTCCTCCCCAACATTGGTGCCTCCAATGCAGGCATGGCACTGGACGTTCATGTAGTCGCCGAGAGCGAGCAGCCCCTTCTGGATCTGCACAGCTAACTCTCTTGTGGGAGCCAAGATCAAAGCTTGAGTTTCACGAACCTGAATATCCAAACACTGGAGGACTGAGATACTGAAGATGGCTGTTTTGCCTGTGCCGGACTGAGACTGCGCGATGACATCTCTCCCTTTGATGATCTGCTTGGTTGCTCGTTGCTGGATTGCTGATGGTTTTTCAAAACCGTAAGTGTAGATGCCCCGCAGTAGGTCCTCCCGCAGGCCCATGGTGTTGAACGTGGGAGTCACATCCACCTCCTCGCTGGTCTCGAATTCCACTTTGGTCATGTCTTCCTCTTTGAGCAGACGCTTTCGCGCCGAGCCCGAGGTCGCCATCGTGGCCGTGGTCGCCATGATTTAGAGTCCGCCGATGCAGTTTCTTCATAGTGTCATTGGTCTTTATATTTTGGTATGTTCTTGCAGTGATTGGTATCAGTTTTTCCTTTTTATATTTAGTGCTTCCTTCAGGAGCTCTTGTAAGGCAGGCCTGGTGGTGACAAACTCCCCCAGCATCTGCTTGTCTGAAAAGGATTTTATTTCTCCTTCGCTCATGAAGCTTAGTTTGGCTGGATACGAAGTTCTGGGTTGAAAATTCTTTTCTTTCAGAATGTTGAATATTGGCCCCCACTCTCTTCTGGCTTGTAAGGTTTCTGCAGAGAGATCCACTGGTAGTCTGATGGGCTTCACTTTGTAGGTAATCTGACCTTTCTCTTTGGCTGTCTTCAACATTTTTTCCTTCATTGCTACCTTGGTGAATCTGATGATTATGTGTCTTGGGATTGCTCTTCTCCAGGAGTATCTTAGTGGTGTTCTCTATATTTCCTGAATTTGGATTTTGGCCTGTCTTTCTAGGTTGGGGAAGGTCTCCTGGATAATATCCTGAAGTGTGTTTTCCAACTTGGTTCCATTCTCTACATCACTTTCAGGTACACCAATAAATTGTAGGTTTGGTTTTTTCACATAGTCCCATATTTCTTGGAGGCTTTGTTCATTCCTTTTCATTCTTTTTTCTCTAATCTTGTCTTCACACTTTATTTCATTAAGTTGATCTTCAATCTCTGATATCCTTTCTTCTGCTTGATTGATTCGGCTATTGATACTTTTGTGTACTTCACGAAGTTTTCATGCTGTGTTTTTCAGCTCCATCAGGTCATTTATGTTGTTCTCTAAACGGCTTATTCTAGTTACCACTTCCTGTAACCTTTCATCATCGGTCTTAGCTTCCTTAGAACCTTGCTCCTGTAGCTTGGAGGAGTCTGTTATTACCCACCTTCTGAAGCCTACTTCTGCCAATTTGTCAAAGTCATTCTCCATACAGTTTTGTTCCCTTGCTGGTAAGGAGCTGTGATCCTTTGAAGGAGAAGAGGCCTTCTGGTTTTTGAAATTTTTAACATTTTTGTGCTGGTTTTTCCTCATCTTCGTGGATTTATCTACCTTTGATCTTTGATGCTGATGACCTTTGGATGGGGTTTTTGTGTGGGCGTCCTTTTTGTTTATGTTAATGCTATTGCTTTCTGTTTGTTAGTTTTCCTTCTAACAGTCAGGCCACTCTTCTGCAGGTCTGCTGGAGTTTGCTGAAGATCCAGTCCAGACCCTCTTTGCCTGGGTATCACCAGTGGAGGCTGCAGAACAGCAAAGATTGCTGCCTGTTCCTTCCTCTGGAAGCTTCATCCCAGAGGGGCACCCTACAGATGACAGCCAGGGCTCTCCTGTATGAGGTGTCTGTCGACCCCTGCTGTTAGGTGTCTCTTAGTTAGGAGGCATGGGAGTCAGGGACCCATTTGGGGAGGCAGTCTGTCCCTTAGCAGAGCTTGAAGGCTGTGCTGGGAGATCTGCTGCTGTCTTCAGAGCTGGCAGGCAGGAACATTTAAGTCTGCTGAAGCTGCGCCCACAGCCACCCCTTTCCCCAGGTGCTCTGTCCCAGGAAGAAGGGAGTTTTATCTATAATCCCCTGACTGGGGCTGCTGCCTTTCTTTTAGAGATGCCCTGCCCAGAGAGGAGGAATCTAGAGAGGTAGTCTGGCTACAGCAGCTTTGCCATGCTGTGGTAGGCTCCACCCAGTCCAAACTTTCTGGCAGCTTTCTTTACACTGTGAGGGGAAAACCAGCTACTCAAGCCTCAGTAATGGTGGACATCCCTCCCCCAACCAAGCTTGAGCATCCCCAGCTGACTTCAGATTGCCGTGCTGGCAGCGAGAATTTCAAGCTGGTGGATCTTAGCTTGCTGGGCTCCATGGTGGTGGTACCTACTGAGCAAGACCACTTGGCTCCCTGGCTTCAGCCCTCTTTCCCTGGGAGTGAATGGTTCTCTCACTGGGCTCCCAAGCACCACTGAGGTACCAAAACAAAACAAAACAAAACAAAAACTGCTGCAGCTAGCTCAGTGTCTGTCCAAATGGCCATCCAGTTTTGTGCTTGAAACCCAGGGCCCTGGTGGCAAAGGCACTGAAGGGAATCTCCTGGCCTGTGGGTTGGGAAGACCATGGGAAAAGCGAAGTATCTCGGCCAGAGTGCACAGTTCCTCACAGCTTCCCTTAGGTAGGGGAGGGAGTTCCCTGACCCTTTGTGTTTCCCAGGTGAGGCAATGCCCCACCCTGCTTTGGCTTGCCCTCTGTGGGCTGCACCCACTGTCTACTCAGTCCCAGTGAGATGAACCGGGTACCTCAGTTGTAAATGCAGAAACCACCCACCCTCTGCGTTGGTCTAGATGAGAGCTGCAGACAGGAGTTGCTCCTATTCAGCCATCTTGCCCCCTCCTCATTGTTATTTTCAATAATAAAAAAACAGAAATTGGCTGGGTAGTGGCTCCTGCCTGTAATCCCAACACTCTGGGAGGCTGAGGTTGGTGGATTGCTTGAGGTCAGGAGTTTGAGACCAGCCTGGAGCACATAATGAAACCCCATCTCTACTGAAAATACAAAACTCTGGTGGGGGCAGTGGTGTACCTACAGTCCCAGCTACTTGGGAGGCTGAGGTGTGAGAATCACTTGAACCTGGGAGGTCAAGACTTCAGTGAGCTGAGATCACGTCACTGTACTCCATCCTGGGCAACAGAATGAGACCCTGTCTCAAAAACAACAACAACAAAAAATCCAGCCATTACCTAAATGCCAAGAAATAAAAGACTGATGTGCAAAAACGGGGTTGGGGGGGCTTGGTGTGATGGATGCATCAGCATTTACAATAGGGTTTCCTGCTGTAGCCTAACCTGCCCTGTAGATTCCTGCAAGGTCTCCCCAAGCATTTCTGGTCTTCCCCAAAGTTCTCCCACAGGAACTCATAGGTCAGACTATTAGATATAATCACATGTGGTATTTGCCTTATTCTTCCTCTTTCTCCCCCTCTCCCTCCTCAGCATCCTCTACTCACAACACCTTCTGAAGGAGCCTCAGTCCTGCCATGACTGGCAGAACCTGTCATGAGCATCACCAGCATCCATGCCAACATCTCCCCTGCAAGGCTCTCAAATCTGCTGACCTTCAGAACGTTAGAGCAGTGCCGAAGCCCAGGACATGGCTGTCATCCCTTATTCCTCTGAGCTCAAATCGCCCCCAATGTCCTGATAGGAACCAAGTACCAGGCCATCCCACCATTTCAGTCTCTGTCCCAAGGACTTCTCATTAAATTCCATCATCATCCTTCAGCTAACAACCAAAAGCCTTCCTGAAACACAGTCTCATGCAAATAGGTACTGAGAAAATTTCCCAGCCTCCAATTCTGCAAACACTCACCTGCGCAGTTTAGAATCAGCTAGGTTATGTGACTGTGCATTTATATTAGCAGATAAATAACACAGCAGCTATACTACAAGTAGGTGTCTTTTTGGCCTGTTTACTTCGTTTAATTTTTACATATTAGGCTCATCTCTGAATGCCCAGAGGATGTAACTGATATACTCTCCCGGGGAAAGAGTCAAGAGTCATTTCCCAGCTGGGGTTGATGCTCTTCCATTTTCTCTTAACCCTGTGAAAATGGTGCTGGGCCATAAGAGGACATCTGGGATTCAACTCCCACTGTGTATGGCTAAGTATCAGAACAAAGTATGATGTCCACAGAGGACCTTGAGCTCACAGGCTCCATTCCAGAGAGTAATACAGCGATAGTAAACCATTGGAAGCAAAGACTCCCTGTGGAATAGCTGTAGTCATCCCCCATGCTGGCCCAGCCACTGAGAAGAGACAGTCTTGTTAGGTTGACTTGACTATGGGTCACCTGAATTTAATTTGGCTTACTGAATTATGGATGAAGGAGACAATTATTCCCAAGAGTTGGCCAATCTTTGTCATCAGGGGTTTTCTTATGTTGGTGAGAGTGTTCTAGTACCTTAACAGGCAGCTTGAGTTTGATGCATGAGTCATAATGAATCAGATGTACCAGAATTGTTGTTTTGATTCAGCTCAGCAGTTATGTCTTTGAATCTGAGTCTCAGATGGGCACCTGAATAGACTCATCACAAAGCTTCATTGCAAATTATACAGTGCAGGGAAGCTCAACAAATTATTCTGATTGTTTCCAGAAAGAAAAAGGAAGGCAGGATTATACAGCATTTAGTGTCACCAATTAACAAGGTCATGGGGCTGAACCACTCATTCCAAAAACTTAATATCTACAAACTCAAGCGCAAGGAGCCTCTTTTAATTATTTGGAAATTGTGGGCCGCAGGGAAAGCGAGTGCTCTCAGCCTTGTGATCTGAGCAAGGTTCAGGAGCTGGAGTGGGTTTGGCTGAGTCACCGCTGGCTGCATGACCCCACACACATCACCTGACCTCCACATGCTTCAGCTGGCCCAGCTGTAAAGATGAGAAAGTGCAGCCGGAAGGCCTCAAAGGGCAAAAACAGCCTTCTGCACACAGCTGCCCTGGGGCAGCTTCCAGCGGCACAGTTTAGCTTCATCAGAGGCAGGGGGACCCTAGTTTGGGCCACCAAAGCAGCCTTACCTAAAAGTCACCTTTGGGAAAGGGCCTGTTTCATGCTGCAAGTGTAGGAGTATAAATTAGCAAAACGTTTTTGAAGCCTTGAAAATACTCATATGTTTTGGTTGCATGATTTCATTTGAATGAATTTATTCTTAGATAGGAATCAGAGGCGTACACAAATATGTATGTTCAATCATGCTCATCATAGTGTTATCTTTAATAACGAAAACCTGAAAATTATCTAAATGTTCAACTGTAAAGCATTGTTCAACAAACTATGGTACATTTTTATGTTGGAATGTTGTATGGCCATTAAAAACTCACTAGAACAGAATAATCAATGACCTGGGAAAATGTCTACCGTAGGATAGTATATAGAGAAGGACCATAAAACACCATTGTTAGAGTAATCCAATTTGTTTTACACTGTATGTACTCCCACGTGATAGACA